TTTTTTATCCAAAATGTGTTTGAGAATAAAACAATTCATGTACCATCTTATCTTATCCAAGCATACGATTCATCTTATTTTTTATTTTGTATGTTTCATATTTACAACTTAAAACACATTTGCTAGAACCTTGTGAAATACAATTACAGAGTATCTTTGTCACTCAAACACTGTCTCTGTTTTCTGCCACCTATTTTTCAATTATTATAAGCTAGGGTGAATGAAATAATTGAAGTTAAGGCTGCTGTTAGTATCATTAGCTTTGTGAATTAACTTCCATTTCTTGGCAGAAGGAGAGCCATCAAGGTGATTCAGTTATGCAGTGACTGTGCCTGATTAGTTGGCTGCAGGAGCTCTGAATCATATGCGGCTTTCATCCTCAGCTTCTCTCTTCCCTTGGTTAATTTGAATTGTGGGTGTGTTTTTTATATTGTGTGTGGAAGTCATGAAGGTGGAGGGTGGGTTGATACACGGTTCTTAGTATAACATTATGCTCCTCATGGCAAGAAAAAAAATTGTGTAAGAAATCTTGCTGCACTGCATCCATTTGAGCGCTCTCCAGATATGATATTACCTCTTACACATATTACTGGTACCTTAGGGCTTAATCACACATAATAGATGTAAGGCTGATGACAGACTTTTGTCACCAACTTTCACGCTAAGATAATGAAGACATTGGCTCAGTGTGCAATTTATATTTGATCATTTTCAAAAATAAAAATGCAGAAAAAAAATCTCTTACTATGTCATGGTGTATGTTCTGACTTCCACCTTTTCTCTGCTCAAGTAAACCAGTAATGTACAGGAGGCTTCATGTCATGTGGCTTCATCTGTTTGCAGCACACAGAAACACAATGGCGCACACAGGAAAACATGCAGACACAAACCAAACACAGTGAATGGCCAATAATTAAAGGAGTTGTAAAGTCCCAGCATATACTATCCTGTTTTAACATCAGCATTGTAATAGGAATACATACTAGAGATGTTTTTGATAATGCAATTAAAGTAGAATTATGGGGTGAGTGAAAAACACTCATCCCCATAAGTCAAGCCGACTGTGATGTTTGGGGAATTTAGCACAAATGGCGAGCGCTCAAAGACCAGTTTTAAAGACACATTAGCATAAAACAAAACAGTCTTTTATTGCTTCCAGAACAGAAAGTAGCTTTTCGTCAGCAAAACAGCATGCAGTCAATAACTGTATCACCATGTCTCACCAACTCAGCATGGTCACATATACTGCATGTGACTCTTCCACACATCCCCTGTGTGTCCCAGGCTCACTAAGCCTCGTTGGCTGATTCCCAGGCACCTCCAACACATACACAACCTCCTGGCTTCACTCTGGCTTCTAGGTGGCGTCCGCCTGACTCCTGGACACAACCTGTCCCTCTTCCCAGCAGGAGCCCAGAGCATTAGCCAGCACCCTTTCCATAAGGGCTATGCACAGGTGTTGGCCCCTACTAAACCATGGACCCAGGAATGGAGATTTCATCCCTCCCAATTCTCTTTGAAATCTCCCAGTTCCAGGATCCCATACCAAATCCAGGTTTTCTGGAGAGAACTGCAAAGCCAGTTCTTTCCCAGCAAAATAATTTGTTTTCTGGAACTGCTCAGTCCCTCTGGCTGAGAGTCCTGGGTTACTACAACCCCCAGTTCCACTGTGGGATTGCCACACAATACCACACCGACCTGTGACAAAGAAGCTGTCACAGGTTGGCTCTTTTTATCAAGAAGTCAGCTAAAACACACTGCTTATGCTGACTTTCTGATTTTCTCCCTGCAGGGATTCCCCCTGCTCCCCTCTTCATTCCTCCAGCGCTGACTGGGGGAAAGAACGGAGGAGGGGGGGGGGGCACAGCTGGCTCTGGCTCAATCAGCCAGCAGGGGGGATCCTGACAATATTGTTGGGATCGGTCCCAGCTGCGGCTCTCTCAGCATATAGCTGGCAATAGCCCACTGTATACTGAGTTTTGGGTCGCTGGAGGACACAATATATGTCCTCCCATGACCATGAGGAGAACTATGGGCAAAAAAGGTTGCCCCATAGTTCTTGAAACTTTTTTTGGGGGATGATTTAATGAAAGAAGTAAAAGGACAGTTATATTGAGGTGCAATAGGCCTCCCTGAAAAGTTGAATTTTCAAGGATCGCCTAAAGGTGGACAGCATTGATGATAAGCCGACAGATTGTGGTAAGGTGTTCCAGAGGAGGGAGAGTCTGTGGAGAAGTTCTGTAGATGTGCATAGGAGGAGGTGGCGAGGGAGCTAGTGAGTAGGAGGTCTTGAGTGGCGTGGAGAGGACAGTTTGGGTGTTATTTTGAGATGAGATGTGTGATGTAGGTTGGGGCAGAGTTGTAAATTCTTTGTAGGTTATTGTTAGTATTTTTAATTTTATACGTTGGGCAAGTGGGAGCCAGTGGAGCAATTGTCAGGGGGGAACGCTGATTGGTTGGTAAGGTGGATGAGTCTGGCAGCAGTGTTCATGATAGACTGACGGGGGGATAGCCTGTTTAGTGGTAGGTCACCAAGGAGGGAGTTACAGTAGTCGAAGCGAGAGTGAATTAGAAGCTTTGCAGTGCCCTTTGTTAAAATGAATTTTGGAAATGTTACGAAGGTTGAGGCGGCAAGATTTGGATGTGGGGCTGAAAGGAAAGCTCAGAATCAAGGATTACTCTGAGCACCCTGGTTTGATAGGCCTGATTGTAGTGCTTTTGGTTGGGATGGAGAGGTCTGGGGAGGGGACCAGAGAGGAGGCCCTTTTAATGCATTGCTTCCATCAAGCCATGATGATGCTATATTGTTCAGATGTTGAGTTGTAGTTCAGAAGGCAGATAGTCACTTTTTTTTTCTTCTTTTTTTTTAAGACAAACCAACAGTTTCTACATACTGTGAATGAACAGCAAAAAGAAAATGACCAGCTACAGAAGCAGCTCAGGTACCAGTTGTGCATTTTTCTATGTGTTTTGTAGAATTTTATTTCTCTAAAGTGTTTTGTAAATCAGCATCCACTTAACACACTAACAGAGTGCTGATAACTAGTTTGTTCACAGGGAATAGCATGGTGTAGTCAAGAATATGAAAGTGCATGTCCAGTCCTTGTAGGGTGACAATTTTAATAACATTTTATAAACGTGTATTTATGATAATGATGCTGTCTGTCATGAATGATGCATTGCACAAATATCTTTCCCACAGTGTTGTGATCTTGAGTTTATTATGAGATACTGTGCAAATGCATTTTGACTGGATGAATGTATGTCAGTGGCTCCTTTTATTTAATCTAAAATGCATTGACAGGCAGGCAAAAGTGGACTTAAAAGTAGCAACTATGAAGATTGAAGAACTGACTCAAATAATGGAAACTATGGAGAGCCAAGCAAAAAAAAGAGTAAGCAGGCATTAAGTTTATTTTTATTTAGTTGCACATGTTGAGTGATCATTGTATGTGTTAGGTCTGTAATACTGATAAAGTGTAATTTTACCGTTCAGTAATTTGTTGTCACACATGGGACAATTGTTTGCAAAATATGCTGTTTTAAAGTAGAACGGTAGCCAAGCTATGGACATTTATTAAAACAAGCCCTCACAGACCTCTGTAGCTGCAGGCTTCTTGTAGTAATTCATCCTCAAAGTTCTGAGAATAAAACACTTTCATTTTTATTTTCTTCTCAGTAGATCCTTTTGTTCCCTACTGGCCTATTTTTTCAATCGCACTGTACTGCAGCGTGCTTTATTTGTGGTGCCACGCATTGCGGCGTGGTGATCGCACTGCAGGGGGTGAGGTATGTTTGGGGTACCATTCAAATGGACCTCCAGCACTGTAATCGCACGGGAGGTGATTTGTGTGGCATCGTGCGATGAACATGCCCTTACTGCATCTCTTTTGAATTTTGAGGAAGCAGTGTCTGCAGGCATTGAGGTCAGGGAGGACTTGTTTTAAATTTAAAGCATTTTATTGTTAAGGAAATTTTATTTTCCATAGCCTGGCCACATTTCTACTTTAAAACTAATATGCTTGTGATCGGGCGTTGTGTGGAGTAGCTCAGATGTTCCCACCCCTATCTGTCCTTGTAGTAAGTTATTTTCCTTTTTTTGTCCTCTGCATAACAAAGTTTGAAAGTGCAACATATAACAGATCTGGTTCTGGCAGCAGATTCGGATTATTTGCAGTTACGTCTGTCCTCTTTTCCTTTGTCAGCAGGCTGGTTTTATGTTGTTTTTTTTACTGTATTTTCAAAATAGAACTAAACATTTTACTGCTTGTAGCTCATATTCCCTGCTTTTATTTAAAATAGTAAATAAAAATTGCATATTCCAAATCCTTTTCATCAGATCGATTTCAATGGTAAATACAGTATATTGGAGAGTTGATTCTTACACTACTGGAATCTGTTTGCTATTTGGGGTATACAGTCAGGAATTGTTTGAATTTTAAGGAATAAAGAGGATATAATGAAGAACAAGTAAGAGCAAGATAAGAGCAGTAAAAAAAGTAAGGTAAGGAATGGAAAAAGAAAAGGATTAGGTCCCTGCAGTTTCCCAGAGCCTGGCTATTTCCATGGGTGAGCTTTATAAACTTTGCCCTTATGGGATCCAAAAGGGTGGTGAATTATGATCTTTTAACTCAAAAACTGGATAGCTTTTTTGTTGACAATTATCCAGGACAATGTGGTCATAGTTTAATGACAGCAGGCTTCCACCATCTTGTGGTAGGTTATCTAAGCTGGTTTTAGAGGAACTATAATTTCTCACCTAATAGAAGTACACAGTGCTTGGATCTCTCTGTATTCTGGCAGTCTTTTAGCTAGGCCACCTCTAACAGGACAGGGGAGAGAGTGTACCATAGAGGTGAAGCTGGACATATTCACATTTACTTGGGGGGTTATTACTGTTCTAGAGCAAGTATGCAGATGCCTTTCACAAATGTCAGCCACATTTGCACAAAGTAGTTGGTTTTTAGCCTCTGTGATCTGGGTCATTGTGATCAATGCAGGGCATGGGGGATTAATTGCAACTACTTTTGACATTAATTAGTAAGATTAGTACGATAAGTCTCTCGCATTTTAGGAGGTAACGTAAGGCTTCAAGAGTTAAAAAACCCCTGTTAGGGTTTTTATTGTTGTATGTGTCCCCACTTGGGAGATGCACCCCTCTATTTGTCCAGTTGACCACTGTCAAGTTGCCCACACAAAAGTTGTCACTGGAGGGAAAATCCTCCTATTGGGACACATTTTCCTATGACAGCTCTCTAAGATGAGAATTCAGTTTACAATAGGAAGATGTCTTCTAGCTTCTGCTGTATCTCTGAGACATTAAATGATAAATTTCTCCGAAGGTGCACAGTCCGCAGTAAATTATCTGATCGGGGTTTTCCTTATACTTACACTTTACAAAACAAAAAGTGACTTTACATACACTCTAGGTTTAGCATTATGTTTTAGAAGGTTATATATTAGGGATTCACCCCTTCTACCATGAACAGAAAGGCGCTCAAAGAGCCAGGAGGCATGCCAGGTCTAATTTCCTGCTGGCTTACCCCAAATCTGACCAGCGTGGGGCCCCACAAACCAAACCCTCCCTCCAAATACCTTATACGCCCAACTCGCCCCTTCCCCATTCCGTGTTCCTCAAAAGTAGTTTGTGGAGAAAAAAAAGTAGCAGTGTGAACAATTGTGGGCCAACTGTGCCTGCAGTCAATCAGCTGCAGTTCTGTTAGCATGGATGAGTGAATCGAGAGTTTTTTTTCTTGGTCAGCCCCATTGACCTAAAAAAAACAATGTATGGCCAGCCTAATTGTACAGGACATTGGTGCTTCAACTTACCACATTGGCCTGTGAGATATGACTGTAGATGGTCAGAATCTTCTTGCATAGGTGTTTTTTCCAAAAACTTAACACAAAAGGTATATCTGTAAATAATAAGTCAAGGCAACTGGACTTGCTGTATTTTTCTTGAAGACGTTTCACTGGTCATCCAACCAGCTTTCTCAATTCAGAATGACTTGTACAAACAATTATCTGGGAATAAATATGGTGAATGTTACTCCAATCCACATAATCTGTTATTCACAAGCAGGTGTTGATTGCATTTGCATAATTGGAGCCTAGGAGGTGTTATTAACCTGCCCAGAGAGAGGTGTTAAAACAGCATTGTATGTGGCAGACAATAGATGTCTCACCCAGGGGCGTATCTGCCGCTAGGCAAACAAGGCGTTTGCCTGGAGTGGCAGATTCGCTGAGAGCGGCGGGTCCGTCCGGGGGGGGGGCTATTGCTGTGCAGGAAGCGGCGACTCACCCCCCACCTCTATTCAAGCTCGGCTTGAAACGTCTTCAAGAAAAATACAGACAGTCTAGTTGCCTTGACTTATTTTTACTGATATACCATGACCTGGATGAATGAGAACCTTCACAGGCATAACGCAAAAGGTGTCATCCCTGTTTACTTGTTTAGTGTAATGTTGTAATTAGTGACAACAAAAGGATGTAGAAAAGAAAGGGGTGAAAATGTGATCTTGCAGAAACTGCCAAGTGGAGGTCAAATTATATTTCATACACTGCCATATATCTGATACATGTTCTCACAAAATCCTAAAATGTGAAATATGTTTCTAGGTCACAATAACTTCATCCAACTTGTTTTCATGACGCAACCATTTATTTAGTATACTAAGTGATTATTGTATTTTCCTGCTCTAAAATGCTCTTTCTTTTTTTTGTTTGCTCATATTGGACTTCACACTGGGAAAATATCTCTATAATGGTAGCTGTGTGAAATCTTGATCCAACATGTGCCCTGGCTCATTACTGATAAGCCAGTGGATATTTCACTGCTGGCAATAGCCCCCAAAGGGGTAGCAAAAATGGAAGAGATTTGTCTATGTGCGTCTTTATGCTTCAAGCCATAATTGAGACACTTCTAAAAATCAATAAGTAAACATTCGGAGCTATGAAAATGTACAGTATATGTAATGATGTTTGTTGCAATGTCCCCAGCTCATTATGAGCGGAAAGAGATACAGGTGCTTTTGTTAGTACTACAAATGGGTTATATTGTAGCTATTCTGTGTGCTCTGTAGGAAGAAGAGGTGTTGGCAGCCCGGGGCAAGGAAGAAACATCAGACAAACGGGTGCAACAGCTCCAGACTGCAGTAACGCAATTAGAAATCAGGTAATTACTGTTATACTGAATATGAATAGTCTTATGTTCATGCTGACTCTAGCTCTGCTTTAATTAATAGGCATGTTTTGAGTAACTGCTTTAGGTTTTATACTATATAGATAAAAAAGATTGATAAAGCACAATGCCAGTGATGAGAATAAATGTGGCTAATGTTTTGCAGATTCTTTTCTGGAAGAGAAATTAAAACTAATGCAAAGTTAATATTGCTGGTTAAAATATTAAAGATCCCCTATACCAGGGGTCTCAAGTCCTGGCCAATTTGCTCCTGCGATCCGGTACTCTGTTGCCCGCAGCCAGCTGTCAAGTCAGGTACATGGTCACAGATCGCGTACCTGACTTGCAGGAGCAGCTACAGCTATCTCTGTCGGATGCAGACTGCATAGCTGCTCCTGTCAGTGCCGGCACTCGGTTCCTTTCGGCCAGCCATCCGAAAGGAGGGATTAGTAAGGCTGCACAGCCAAAGGTGCAGACCTTACTAATCAACCACTGGATCACCAGGGATTGTGCCTCCTCACAGCCTCCTCCCTGCAAAAGCGTAAGCAGATAAGGGGGGACGGGCAATGGGGGGTGTGATATTTTTTGTGTGCAGTGGGGGGGAGTTTATTATTGTGTATTTGTGTGTATTAGGCCCCATTTGCGTTTAGGGATTACTGCATCAGGAACTTGTTTTCCTGCAGCAGCAATCCCTGGCGTTTAGGCCTGGTTCACACCTAGGCGATTTATTGCGTGGATTTAGCTGTGTGGAATCGCAGAAAACACAGATCTGTATTCAAGTCAATGGAGGCTGTTCACACCTCTGCATTGCGTCGCGCGTGCGAAATCGCCTGTCATGGAAAAAGATGCAGGAGCTATTTTCTGGCGGATGCCACACTGTTTTGACCCCATAGACAGACATATATGCATTGAAAACCGTGGTTTTCGTGCGCTTTTCAAAGCAAAATCGTGGGGGGAATGTGCGACAAATGTCCGAAAACAGCTTAATCGTCTAGGTGTGAAGGAGGCCTAACAAGCGACAACTGTCAACCGTTCAAGTTAATCAACATGTGACCTCTGCTGCATGTGAATGCCTGCACACCGCATGTAATCGTATGTGATTCGCTTACATGCGATTTAGGAATCAATCGCTCTCCCTTTTATTTTACATTATGTTATAAAACAACTAATATTACCCACTTTTTTGGTAAAATATAAAAGACGGGGTCACGTCGGGTAAATAGACACCAAACATGTTAAGCTTAAAAATTGCGCGCACTCGCGATATCGCAAAAAAACTAGCATACCCAAAATTGGCCGTAGGCGACGCTTTAAAAGCTTTTACAGCTCATCAGTTTCGTGTTATCAGTGATTGATGGCCCTAAAATGATTGCTCTCACTGCGACATTCGCGGCGATATGTAACATGTGCAGCGTAATGGGCGCAATCGTCGTTTTCGCAGGTATGCGCACCTGACGCATGTTTACATGCGTGTATGTAGGGGTGGGGACTTTAAAAAAACAATTTGTGTTTTTTTTATTCTTTTTTTTGTGTAACTTAAAACATTTTTTTTTTCACTTAACTTTATTGCTATCACAGAGGGGGCTAAGAAACCCCCATATGTGATAGCAAAAGAAGTGACAGGTCCTCTTTATGGAGACATCAGGGGTCTCCAAGACCCCTAATGTCACCTAGGACCCCCCTGAAGAAGCTGATGAAGCACCGATCTGCTTCATCAGCTTCTCTCCAGCATCTGAAGCTGGAGAGTGACACGAGAACGCGGAAGTGATGTAATATACACCACTTCCGCATTCTGACAGCGGAGAGGGGACCGGAGGGAGATCGTGAACCGACCTCCCTCTGATCCCCTGTCAGACGCATAGAGGCACTATGCTGGTCCCGGGCTCGCACCAAGCACAGCGGAGCCCGGGATCAGCGTGAGGTGGGGGAGCACATACCGGGACCCCATACAAGCAATCCGCCGGCTCTATAGCCGGCGGATCGCTTGTATGTTGACAGGCATCGCTGCCGGTTTTTAAATTATGTGTCTTTTCCGCTCCTGCGCGGCGTGCACGAGTGGGTGGGACTAACAGGACGTGTATACATGCCCAGTTACATCCAAGAAGCTAGTTAAAGCATGAAATTTGGCAAGCCGCCCTCATGGGAGAAAAAAAATTGTCCAATAGCCCCTGAGTGAATTGAGTTTGAGACCCCTGCCCTATACCTTTTGCAGAACATATCTCAGAAGGTTTGTGGTCAGCTTTAGGTCTCTTGTCTCAAAACCTCTTTTATGAATGTTTTTTTTTTTTTTTTTTTTTTTTTTTTATTGCTAGGGGAAAAAATGATCTCCGGTAGGGCTGTGTCTTAGCTTTTCTGACAGGATAGAGAGCAGGATTATACAATGGCATTGTCCTGTGTACATACTGTACGTCCATACTGAATATGTTTAGTTTCTGTTGTGAAGCTCAGACAGTTCTTACTAAAGGTCCAGTGTCCAGGAGCACATACTGTGTATAATGTCTCTTCCAACTTAGCTTAGTTTTTGAGCAGCTACTTTACTTCTACTCAGTATTCTATCCTTGTAAAAATGAAGTCACAGCCACAGTTTATATGATTGAATGTGCTTTCTATATGTGACCTTGTCTGATACTTGGAATGCTGATGCTTGCGTCTGATTCATGAGTGAACTACTTATAAATATCAGAGAACGGCAAGTGAGTAATAAAAAGCATTAAACATGACCTGTCACATTTCAATTTATAAACTACACTAGTTGTACTCTGGTTAAAGGGAAAAAGTTAGCGTTCTCTGTAAAATCTAGGTCAGACTGGCTCTGTCATGGTTGCTTATATCATTGCTTTGATCTGAGTATTTGTGTTCATAAACCTCATTTTCCATTTTTTCCGTGAAGGTTGAAAGCAGCAGTACAAGATGCAGAACAGTTAAAAGGGGAAAAAACACAATTGGAAAAACACATCGGGGAGCTACAGGCAAAATGTTCAGAAATGGAACAAGAGAAATATGAAGCTATTTCCAGAGTGCGAGACAGTATGCAGATTGTAGAGGAAGCCAACATTGTGAAAAGCCAGGTAAGACCCTGGATATATGTCAGAGTTAGTATAATATGTTAGAAACTTCAGCAGTGCTGTCTAAACAGAGCTGGGGGGGAGTTGGAAAGCAATCATGTTTTTCCCTATGTGGTGGCTTCAGGACAATTCTTAATAACTCGTTCTTTAATAGGAATGGGGGTCATTTTTTAGTTCTGTAGCAAAACAGAAAAAAACTACTGTGACAATATGGCATTCATGTATAATATGACTTTTTCTAAGCAGTAGTAGAGTAAGGACAGCTGGAATCTTGTTGTACTTATGGTCAACTGTCCACTAGTTTATATAACTCAGACTAGCCTCTTTTTTAATCATATTATTAAAGGGGAACTCGACCTGAGCTAATGTTGATTTCATGCAAAAAAATGTGCCTACTACCACTCTGTAATATAATGTACGTAATAATGACATACCACAGAGCTCATTTATAGTAAAATGTGTTGCCATGAGCCTCTGCTTTGCTTATCCCTTGCTTAGATAGTACTCTGTTTTCTTTTATTCTGTTTTCTTGTAAGCAGGCATGTGAAAATAAATCTTCTGTGTATGCATCAGTTTTCTCCTGAGTTTTATGCAGTTTGGTAAGACTATGCATGACTGGCAGTTCAAAGTGATTCCAGTAACAATTTGGTTAGCGAGAAGGCTGAGTGTAGCAGTATAAAATTCATAAATAGTCAGGTAACCGTGGAAGAAAAGATTGTGGGGAATACTTCTGTCCCCGCACAAGTGATTGCACTCGATGTTTGTCAGGGTGTAGTTCGGATGATCCTAAGTCAAAACACTGTTGGAACCTGATGCGGAGTAGAAAAAGAGTAAGCCCCAAAAAATGAGGACCGGAGTTTGCAGATTTACCTGACAGATTGGTTGGAGGCATGTAAAGACACACATTGGGACGTTCGGCAGATCTACTATCTCCAGTATTCCCAATCATTATCCTGAGGAAGTGGGCACGATAGAGCCACTAAACGCATAGAAAGTGCATCACTGCTTTACTCTGTTCAAATAAAATAAAAAATTGTTGATACCATTCAAGCTGCCTCCAACCAATCTGTCACGATTGGGTGCCTGTGCAAACTCCAGTCCTTGTTTTTTGGGGGGCCTCATCTCCTTTTTTGCTCCAGTATCAATTTGTTGGTCAACATCCGCAGGGTAACATATATTCATAGCAAACTGCATAATTTGAAAAAAATACAGGGGCAATATTATTAAAATATGTAAATTAAATCCAGTCCTTGCTGATGACAGGGATGGGCATCTAGGGTATGCCATTTATTGGTTTCAGAAATGACTACTCTAAGGCTTGCAGTGCTGGGGAGGTCTCATTAGGCTTCTGGGGCCCACCTAGTACAATGAGATGCCTTGGGGGTGTTTATCAACTCTAAATTTTCAGTATTTGGATACTGTGAGTTCCCACTTTTAGGGCGGGGGGGTTCTGCAACACAAAAAGTATAAGATTTTTTTAGATACCTGTAGGCACCTGGCGTTAGTATTCAGTTGTATAGTTATTCGATTTCTAGCTGTCAAATGTACTGATAAATCCTTTCTTTCCCTGCACCACCATGTTTGGAACTATGATTAGCTAGGATGTACATCTAAGTAGTTTTGCTGGCCCCACACTTCCCTCCCCTCACTTGTGTCTTTGCTCACTTCCTCTCCTGTCTCAACATATCTCTGTCCCACTTTTCCCCTCTCATTTATCACTGTGTGTACTCGCAGTGTCACATACCACTGAATTACATGTAGTGCCTCATACCTATAGCACAATGATAATAAATTACTAAAAACATTGAACTCCGCACTTTCCTGTATTAGGAATTGAAATAGACACATGCATTACAATCTAATTGTACATTATGTGTTCTGTCTCCTTTTTAATTATCAATAACGTATTAGTAGTGGGGCCTGTCTAAACAATGTATTAGTTTTATATCAGTCCGAAGACGCACATAGCTGTTGGTAAATTCAAAGGAGGTCACAATCAAAATGAAACGTGTCGTCAGATTTAAATCTGATTAGGTCATCCTAATTTTGTAAATGCATTAGATCAACCCATACACATTCTGATCACCGTACAATTCTATTTACCCACTTCGCTACCAGAGCAATGTGAGTGGCGCACTTTTCAGCACTAAACAAGTGATCAGGTGGCTCTACAGCCGCCCAATCCCCTGCATGTAAAATTTCGGTAGCACTGCAGAAGCAGTGATCTTGGTATTAATCACTTTAGTGTAGGATGTATATATACATACTGGTTAACTAAATTGGGTAATGTGGTTGTAGGTTGTACAATCCCATGGCAATATATGTGGCCAGCTTCAAATCCAAAGTTAAATTAAACTGTATCTGTGGGCAAAATGTTTTGTTTTGGATAGAGTAGGGGAGGGATAGACCCTTTGTCATATTAGCATTGCAGTTTGTTTCTCCACTGGGGAAATGCACCACTTTATTTGTGACGGTGACCATTGTCACTAAGAAAGAAACTTAGAGGAAATGCAGAATGTTAGAGTCGTCCCCAGAGCAAGATTTAGGGAAAATCTTCCAATGAGGACAAATGTGCTTGTGACAACTAAGACCTGGAATTTCCCTGAATTGTGAAGATAGATATATATATCTATAGATAGATACATAGATAGATATATATCGCTATATAGATAGATATATATCAATATCTATCTATCTATATATGTGTGTTTATATACTGTATAAAGGACATGTACAGTATATGCTTATGATAAGGGAACTATATGCCAAACAAATGACAGATGTAAACTCTGTGTACTAGCTAGACATCTTGGGTAATCTGATTTGTCGGCTGCACCATATTTTGTCACTTGGTACATTAATTGATGCCTTTTGACACTGTGCAGTTAATTAAATAATTAATGTGCTTCCTACCATGAGATCTTATGTTAGTGTCACTCCAATTTATATAATTGCTATCACTCAGGAGTTGCACACCAGCCTTTTGGCTCTCACCCAAGAGAAAATTAAACCTTGTTTAAAGGAGGTCAGATGTTGCTTCTGTCTGAAGCTCTCTAGCTGACCTCAGCCTCAAGTATTCTCGTTAAAAGTGTGTTCATTATCCAAATGCCCTGGTTATCCAGCAGCTGCATAAAAAGGCCTCACAACCAGATGGGGTCTGTTCAGGTAAGCATTTACACTGGTTTGCTTGAGGGCACATTTAGGAATAAAGCTGGATTCAGCTAAGTAGTGTGAAAATTCTGTAGTCATTTGGATCATTGAACCCAAAGCTTGCATTTCTCTAGTTTCCCTGTGAACAGCATTATAAACTCCTGGTTGAACAGAACATCGGAAATTAGGCATAGAGAATTTTTAGCATTCAATTTGACTTGTAATTTATTATCTGTGCAGTGGGTGGTCTGTGCATTCAGGTTTGGTACATTAAATATGCATCATCGCCTTTACTTTAATGCTCATCTAATTGGCCTACCAGCAAGTAAGCTAATACTGTATTTTATTTGTTTCTGAACTCTGTTGCTAGATTTATGTTTTCTACCAATCTCTTCACCAAGTTATCATCAAAGTAGTTGCAACTGCAATGGTCACATGTGTGCTCAGATCTAGTTCAAAAGCTGCATTGCTAGTAAGGCTCCTTCTTCCTTTTTATTCCTAATACAGGAAAGTGCAGAGTGCAGGTATATAGTTGGATATCCCTAAATGTATAATCACACCTTAGCACTGCTCTAGTGCATTTCATGCCTAGAAATGTTCTCCCACTTACCATCCATTGCTAGCTTTGGACCTGGCCTCAATACATGTCTAAATGAAGCCATATTCTCATTCATGTTTAGGACAGTCTCAGGTCGTAGAAAATGTAAAAACCAGTTCGGTGGGCACATTTGCTCTAAGCCTTTCCCCGGGTGCTGATATAGTTGTTTTCACCAAGCAACAAAAGAAAACTCCAAAAATGACCATACTCTTCTATATTTCTCCAATAAAGAAGTAGTCAGATTTCTGGACATTTTCAGTTATCCACATGATAGTGTAGTATTCTACATGCTTAATTCTATAATACTACAATTTTTTTGTATTAATCGTTTTTGCTTTGATAAATTTAAGAGCTATGTTTAGAGTTGTTATTTTAGGCAATTTTTTGAAGTGAATCTGTGCCCAGATTAGACACACTAAAGTATTTACTTATTCTGAACAAGCAGCAAAAGCACGTCCCTACATAGGTCCACAGTAAGTAGTTATTTAAGACCATCATCATCAGAAAGGGTGTCTCTCTTCTCTCCTTTCTTGCAGGAGTGTCGGGTGTTGGGGGACCCTTCTCTAAAAAAAAAATATTTTTTTTCCACCCTTCTCATCCGACTCGAGCCGTTGTTTTCACAATTGTGTATTTAGTGTATTTAGCAGTCTGCTTCCATGGACCAGGTAGTCCCTAGTGTGTCTACACAGTCTCACATTTAGGTCACTGGTAAGCACTCCAGTATCAAGGCTGTTTCTCTCTTGGGAGTCCTTCCTGCATCAGGAAAAGTAGTCTGGTCTATGAGCTGGAGAATACTGTGAGCGTTGACCTCATGCATATCGATCCCCTCAGGTGAGATTCAATGAACACCAGATCCTCTCGCCTAGTAGCCTCTGATTAGAGGAGGAGTTTATGCTTCTATGTATACCTCAGACCCTGCACAACAGGCCCAGCTCGTCGGATGATGATCCAGTGTCTCCCCAGATGGTCAGTAGGCAGAGCACACTAGCCTCCTGCTGTAAGTAGTCCTGAAAAGGCATGGGGGAACACCTTACTGACTTCTGGGGGCTCATCCAACTAGGGTTAGGTCCTCTTTTCTTGATAGATTCAGAGCCCATTGAGGAAAGACCTCAGGTTTCTTCTCTTGCTTCAGCTTCCAACCAGGCATATTCTCTTGATTGTACAAATAGTTATCCTGATTATTATGCTGGTATTCTTGGCACTATACCCTAACCATATATGAATTCATGTTCCCCTCAATGGACTCCAAGTAAAATCATTTTATGATGAGAACAAAAACCCTGCTTTGTTGAGTTTGAATAGCATATGGAAGTGTTTAGAACTGTGTCAGATTTTTGCTGCTCTTCTGGGGCTCCATTATAAAGATCTAAGCTCATTTCCGGTCCTGTTGTGAACGCAGGAACTGATGGGAACTCTCTAAAAGCAGTACAGACATTAATAAAATGATATTTTCTTTAGTGTATAGGAGCAGGCTAGAAACCCTGCCAGATTTTGATTTCTGTGTCCTTAGTGCAGATTTTTTTCCCCTTACTTTTTGTCTGGTGAAATTGTCAGCAGGAGTTCTAATTCATCCCTTCTCTATCCAAAACATGAAAAAAAGCTTTTGTCTTGACATATAGTTTAGGTTTTGGGGATTTGGTTATAGTAAGCCCTATTGAGGTCATACACATTGTATTCCTCTTTTAGTTCTATACTGTATATTATGATTTTAAACTGATTTGCACTTGGAAATGCCTTAAAATATATTTTTCTGTTATTGGAAATGCAATTCCTGCCATCCCATCGCTCTATGCTGCATAGATGAGTACCAACCACCCTTCTTATTACAAGTGTCCTCACATAAACGTTTTGTTCGGAAGAAGGGGGTGTGTGACAAGGTCTATTTGATTATGAAGTGCATTGGCCACCATAGTGGATTCAATATTTGTTAACAAAAAGCTTTATTAGCTCAACATCCATTCTAAACCTACATCGATATTAAAAATCGAATACACTAACCAAATGCATAAAAAATCCACACATTTCTCAAGCATACCTTTTCAACACAAGATCATGTATTTGTTTAAAATCTGAAAGTTTTATTCTAAATATTTAAAACACTTGAACTATTAAATTGGCAATGGGTGTGGGCCCCAGATTGCCAATATTATCACTTTTAGATTGCATTCATATATCAACACTGTGAAAGTGGAGGCAAGTAGTATTATGTACAATAGATATTCTGCCAATATAAATACACATTTCTGTGGCTTCACTTGGGCTAAAACAGTTAACATATAGGGTAGAAAACATTGGTAAAACAGTTTTAAGATTTTGAGGTTGAAAGATAAACTTTTATATGTGAAACGTTTGGTGGGTGTGATGAGGAGTAATACATTTCTATAACAATCAATCAGGTTTTACTGTTATCCTGTTATCTGCCAAGAACATAATTTATGGAATCTAATTGGTTGCTAACCTACCATTCCATAGTTTTTCCTAAATGAAGCTTAAATAATGCTCAGATCTGTGATGATCAGAATCCTATGTTTAGACTAACACTCCCGGCACTGAAGATTCTCAAACCTTTTAAGCTTCATTTCCTTGTCATGGCTACCTTTTTATAGATCATTCAAAAAGATACATTTAATGAGAGGGGTAACGCTATGACTGTTACTTACATTTCACACTGCATTTTCTTTTGAATGTAATTCATAAAAGAACAATTTGAAATATAATTATGGAAAATTAAGTGTCGAGGAAACCCAAACTCAGGGGTTTCAATGACTTTGACTATTATTAACTAGGCCATATTAAAAATCAAATGTATTTATTTTACATGCATGCATGGAGAGCAATACCATACAGAGTATTGGAATCAACATTGATCTGACTGGCTATGGTTCGAACACAATATACTAGGGATGCACCGATATATCGTCCGCCGAATATATTGGCAGAAAATGGCACTTTTGGCATAGTGCCGAAAGTGCCATTTTCTGGCCGATACAGCGATGCATCCATTCGTTCTCTCCTCCCCGCTGGGCGCTGTTCTGTGTCCCAGCAGGGAGGAGAGAAACTCACTGGCCGAGCGCTGCGGGAGGAAAGAGCTGTGAGCGTTCGGCGTCTCTCCTCCCCGCTCCGCTCAGCCTCCTGTCCCAAAGTGGTGTGTGGGCGGAGACAGCCAGCCTGTCACAGGAGGCTGAGCTCCGCTCGCTCAGCCTCCTGTGACAGCGTGTCAGGATGGAGAGCTGTACAAACACTCAGTGATCGCTGAGTGTTTGTAAAACAAAGTAAAGTAAAAAAATATTTAATAAAAAATGAATAAATATAAAAAAATTAAAACGTTTATAAAAAATGAATATAAAATATTTGAAAAAGTTAAAATAAAAAACATTTTCGGTTTTGTTTTTGAAATTTCCATTTCTGTGCCACTCTACAATATACTGTATATAGAGTCTGAGTTGGGTGGGAACCTGGCTATCTATGTCCTTTAAAATGTAAATCTTTTTTCTGATGGCCTCTGCAGAGGTGACGAACACATGTTGTTTACGATTCTTCTAAAAGGACATCTGTTGTACACAGGAACCAATCTTACTTGGCGTTGGCAAGGCTGAAAAATTCAAAATATTAAATAGTACTTGTAACAAAAGACTAAGATCAAAAAGGCTAATACAAAAATTATGCGTTGGGCTAACAGTTTATGAACACCAAGTTTTTCTTCGACCCTTCTGGTGCATCTCTCGCAGCTAGCCAGAGTTTTATTGTACTGGCATCAGCGCCATTTACATCCAGGTTTAACCAAGGTTACAGCTTGGGTATTGCAACACCTTAGAACTTATACAATGTTCATACGTAACAATTCTCTTTAGGACTCTTGCAGTCCCTGTGGTAAGAACCTCCCAGTAGATGGTTTGCAATCATGGCAAATCAAGCTTTGAGTTACTTTCCCAAAAATCCACTGCTGATAAGAAGTAGCATAGCTAGATGCGATTAACGTATTCTTCTCCACCTTGTGGCTGATGTCCACAAGGTAGGATATTTTGAGAATGGCGCCAATCACATTGTTAGTCCAACATTAGGTAATTAACAACATTGCCCACAAAGCCTTTGAAGCTTTTCTGTTGAAGTAAATCTGTTTTATATAGGTAATGTGACCTAAAAACAAAGAAACACACAAATATCTTAATACAGTCGGTGAATCATAGCTGTGCACTGTTTAATCCATGCACTTGAATATACAGCTTTTCCTTTAATATTTATTTTATTTGTATAGATTTTATATTCAATATATGTTCTATATTGCCGTTTATTCTGTAGCTCAATTTACTCAACTTTGTGCAGTAATAAGAGATGCATTTTGTATACAGCTTTCTGCTTGGTCTATAAAGGAGTATTATATGCCCATATTACTTTAAACTGAAACTTGAGGCACAAATAGTTTGTATTTACTGGCATTTTATTGCAAATGTGTTAAGGTACAATTGAAAATACACCTTCATTTGATTGGTAAATACATTTTATCTTTTACAGGCACTTTTAAAAGAAAAGCAAAAGCAGGGAGAGATAGAAAAAATGAAGGAAGTAATAGCCAAGATAATTCAGGAAGCTGCAATGAGAACTCGAAAAGAGGTAAAGTGGTCTCCTCTCAATTATTATTATTATTATTATTATTATTATACAGACATACTGCATATGAGCAATTAGTAAGTAAAAATATTCCAGCTGGTGCTTAAATCCTCCTTGAACCAAAGTGGTGATGGTCTCTCATTGGAAAATATACAGATTACCCTCCACCCCCATGCCTACAAGACATACCCACCCACCAGTTGGGGAGTCTGACACCTGCCCCTCTCTCCATACATGCAGGTCCTTAGGAAGGCTCCCTTCCATGTCCTAAAGTCCAGCTTAACTCAATACACGTTTCCTCAAATATTCTCCTTATCTAATCTAATTATTGGCAGCACCTTGGAGGGCATAACCAGACACTGCTGGACCAAAAATTGTGGGGCTACCCTGGAATGTGCCCTTAGACACTGGGCTCTGCGAGTGGCACTATCCAAGTACTATGTTAGTTGACCACAGAGTGCTTTCCAGGTACAGAGCCACAAAACTGTCTTTGGTGTGGCCAGACTCTCTTGACTCTTGTTAGTATACCACAAGGACCAGAATGCCAGGAACTATTGCACTTTGGTACTATCTTGTATTGTTGCCATTGTGTCCTTAATCTGTTGCTCTCTGTGGAAAGGATTGTTGAGCAACTGCTTCATCAGCCGGAGAGTGACACACACGCACTCCCCACTCTGTTCCTACCCTTTTTGCTTCAGCGTGAGGTAGCATCTCCTGATCAACATTCTAGAATTATGAGTGATTTGGCTGTCCCTAGGACGCTGGGCACCCCGACTGGAAGATGATTCAATCAGGATCCATTGGTGTGCATTAACCACCAGGAAGGAACCAGATGCCTGGCTGCAGAAAAAGTGCCTAAAAGCATTCTAGCCTTGTAGAACTCCATGTTCCAGCCTTTTCTACAATTCACACTCCCAGCATTGATAATTGGCAGGCAGACTATCTCAGTTGATAGTGTCTGGACACAGGGGAGTGATCATTTCTCCTGAGGTGTTACAGGACCCGTGTCTCATGTGGGGGACACCAAATATAGATTTCCTAACTTCTAGATTCAACAACAAACTGGCCAGGTATCTAGTATATTATACTAGTCTAGTATATCTGTATAAAATAAGTCAAGGCAACTGGACTTGCTGTATTTATCTTGAATACGTTTCACTGGGCATCCAACCAGCTTTCTCAATAATTGAGAAAGCTGGTTGGATGCCCAGTGAAACGAATTCAAGAAAAATACAGCAAGTCCAGTTGCCTTGACTTATTTTTTACAGATATACCATGACCTGGATGAATGAAAACCTTCACAGACATAGTATAGTATACTACGAGAAATCTAGTTCAACAGAGACTGCTAAGAACAATGTCTTTGATTTAAAAAGCAAGGTTAGCAGGATATATATGTCACTTCGTGTCTCTATGACAAAATCAGTGTTGGTTGTGACAAGATAAAGTTTAGCTTACAGCCTTCTGTAAGTTTTTTTAGATCATCTCTAAGTAAGCCAGAATGGTGAAACGTGTTAGAGGTTGAGTATACGTGGGGAGGAACTTTTACAGTATGTATTTTCTCCATAAATAAATACTTTTACTTTCAGTGAAGACCCATGGAGTGCGACTATTTCTGGATTTGGGTGTGGGTGGAGCTGTACTTTATAATTCAATTTTTTTTTGGGGGGGGGGGGTATGATAGTAAGAATTATAGGAATGGTTATGAAATAATCCACATTTTAGGGAGAAATGTATGCACATAAGAAAACAAAGGAAGGACATAATTATGCCTTGCTTTCAGTCTGTACAGGTTTAAGTGACTATATGATGTATGATGACTGTCACAAGATCTACCGCTTTGCAGCTGGGCCCAATTATTATATCTTTTGGGTTCCAGCAAAGTGTGCCAAATTCTCTTGGGCTAACTAAATTGAGGGCAGCGGTGGTAAATAGCAGTCAACCATTTGGATAGTTTTAACTGTCTGCATGCCCATCCATTTTTTAATGTCTGTGGCAGGTATTTAATGCATTTTCCACTGTATATAATCATGCTAGCGGAAACCAAAAAGCTGGCTAGAATGCATCAACCACATACTAATACATAATTACCACATCATTTCATAATTGAATATTTGTTCATAGTTATTTTTGTATTTCATTTAACATGCATTGTGCACTGATCCTTCACCTGGGGGAAAGTTGTCTCATTCTAAGAGATAAAAATTTACCTAATTAAATAAAATAGACTGAAGGTTACAATATAGACTGTGTGTCCATCCTTCCAGAGTACATTTTAGTTTTCATCTCTTGTGAACATCTGTTTTTTTTTCTGTGCATGGGAGGAATCCCTTCTCCATCTGTGGCAAAGTTCAAGCCTGGACCTTATTTATCAAAGTGTCTTTTCCTATTTTGCCTCAGAGCAACCAGATACATATTTTTATTTTCCTTTTTTCCCCATCTAATTGGTTGCAGTGGGGCAAGATTGATTGTCTGAGACAGTTCTTTTCTCAGATACTTTGATTAATGAGGCCCACGGTGTCTTGCCACTGATACTATCAAGTTTAAATTATAGCAATGTATTTGTTGTTTGCTATAGCCCAGTAATATCCACAAAAGCTAACTACTATGATTTCATAACCATTTGTTCTGAAATTGGGAAATCTGTTTAAAGAAAATGCATACTGCAAAAAATGGGATTTGGGCATTGGGCTAATTCTACGAGGAACAGTGTCAGTCCGCTCATAAGAATCTTCATTCAGATATTAAAGGAGAACTATGGGGTCAGGGCCTTTCCCCATAGTTCTCCTAAGGGTAACGGGAGGACACAAACTAGCGTCCTCCCTTCACCCAAAGCTACAGCTCCCGGTATACTGAGATGCCGCAGCCGGGACGGATCCCGACAATACTGTCTGGATCCACCCAGCTGCGTGAGTGACAGCTGGCTCTGCCTATCTAGAGGCAGAGCCAGCTGTACCCTCACCCGTCCGTTCCGCCAATCAGCGCTGGAGGATCCGACAGGGGAGGGGGGGAATCCCTGCAGGGAGCCGTGAGTGACAATCACGGCTCTCTGCAGTGACAGGATCGAGAAGTGAGCTAGCGCCGGTATGTGTTCGCTCACTTCCCGATCTATTGAGCCGACCTGTGACAGTTTCATTGTCACAGGTCGGCTAGTACCTCACCTCATAGTTCTCCTTTAATATCTAAATTTAGTAACAAAATCAAATCTATTATTATGGCATAACTAATGATGTTTCCCTCCCTTGTTCAGTGAGCTAATAAGCCATCTGGGGGAGTCTGTTACCATTTGATCAGTGAAGTGAAGAAGTACTTGCAAACATGTTTAGATATCAAAACATATATTTTACATTGTATATCCTAGTAAAGCCATCCAGCCATGGCTTGATGTCATGGATCCTTTTTATGTCTCCAACTTTTTCATCCAACTCCAGCTAGGTATTGCTGTATCTTTTACTTGTTATGCCTCACCTCTCCAGACACAAGGTGCCATAGTTTTTCAAGCAATTTTAGTCATATGTACGTTAGGCAGTTCTGTGAGGGTAACCAATTTACACAGAAATGTTTTGTTTGTCTTCTCAGCACGTTTCCCACTCTTATTCCCCTATTCAGAACTTTCCCCTATTCCTCTATATTGTGTGTGGGAATGGCTGGACAGTTATCTGTCAAAGAGTGCGTGTGAGTGCCTGAGTCTGAATATGTGTGTTAAATTAGGACCAGAGGCTCCATATTGGATTTTTAGTTGAGGATTTTTTGGTCCATTTTAGGTTTTGGAAATGCTTAAAATTGCAGTGAGTTATTATATGGCATGCTTAGAGTGACAGTTATTTTGCCTTCCTACATGTTGGGATGTGTGATGCAGAACAGGAGCTTCAAATCTGTGCATCACCAGTCGTTTATGGCCAGACCACAGCTTCCTATAAACTTCCTTAGACGGCAAGACCAGTATAGGCTTTACTAAAGAAAAATCTTTAGTAAAGCCTATACTGGTCTTGCTTCCTTAACGTTTAAGCAACTCTGGTTTCGCAAAAATAAACAATCTTCTCCAGGTCAGTTATATACGTTGCAGGTAAAATAGCTAGTGGCATTGCAGAGTTTACTCGCTGCAGTTCTGTTCAAGAAGAAGTCTTATCAAACTTTCTTTATTTGCTCTTGCCCTCAGGGTACAAAGTGCATGTAGCACTTTGTCCCATTTTTCTAAGTGGTCTGGCTGCATTGTTGACACCACACCCCCCCCTCCCCCTACCATTTGTCCATGCTACTTTCAGGCAGACACATACCTAATGAGATAAAATTGACAGCGCTTGCCTGAGACGAGCGATGTAACTAGTCATGCAGGGGGGGGGGGGGGTTGTACTGAACTCATGCACCCAGTTCCCGTCCCCCGTCCCCCCATCTTTGTCTCTGACTTTGGCTCAACTGTAACATTCTATCTGGCGATCCAGCTTTATCTTTATTGGTCCTGGGCTGCAGGCAACAGGACCTCACAGTATCTTGCGTTTCTATGGTTCGGTTGCCTGGCTGCCAGCACCATAGCAGTCAATGATGTTGTGTGGCCTGCCCCCTGCACCATGTAGCAGTTTTTCCTGACACCGTACATGGCAGCATACAATGGGTATGGCTCCGCCCCCAGCCCAATCACAGGACCAGTTATACTATAAATTAAAGCCCGCCTCCCAAGGCCACCATTCTTTTTTCTGTCCTCACTGCTCAAGCCGGTTATACTAAGAATAGGTTGGAGTTTTTTCCCTCACCTTGCTGGTTTCTTCTGGCCTGCCGCACAGGTTCAGCCTCTCCTGTTGCGAAGTTCCCTTTGTTCAGGTGGCTAAATGCAGTCTGATAAGGGAAGCCTCCCCCATAGCCTTGGAGTTGGGGTGCAGGAAATGGTCTCTTGGGGTCTCTTCATGTTCGGATGCTTCCTCCATCATGGCGGCGGGTTGAACACCTGCTTAGCCTCCTGGCCTTGTGACTCCAGAGAAGAACCGTGACTCAGCTGCATCATCACA